AATAGGCGCTGCAATAAAGTTATGGGGAGCTGAGGGTGGAGGCTTCCTCTGTGGAACTTTGCAGGAATCAGGAAGAAAATAAAGCCCTTCGTTAATTTCTTGCTTCGTTGACTTATAGCAGCGTGTTTATTGTTCTTATGCAAATCTACTCAGAAGTCTCGCTGGAGTACAGAAGGACTGACTCCCAGGAAAGCATTTTAGGAAGGAACCCCAATACATTGATTTATGCACTTTTTTAAAAAAAAGTGATTGTAAAATAAAGGAAAATTTAAAAAAAAAATATTAGCAGAGGATGGTTTCGATCCATCGACCTCTGGGTTATGGGCCCAGCACGCTTCCGCTGCGCCACTCTGCTGCGCGCGAGACAACGTGTATTGTCAGTATATAAAGGATGACGTCTTTTTTTTCTTTTCTTAAGCGAAGCCATCAGTTCTGCAAACAAGAGCGTACTGCACTCTTTGACCAATAGTTTATTTTAAAGTAGTCACTTGGCAATCAAGAACAGCTGCTTTGACCCAATGAGACGAAGAGAGCTCCTAATGCAAAACATTTAAAGGAATAAGACACTACGCAGGAATAGAGGCCAATTATTTTTATATGAATGGTGGCCAGTTATGTTATTAGAAGGCTTCTAAGGTGGCAAATAAAAACTTCACTGGTCAGCATGTTCTAAGAGTTTCCTCCCCTCCACTTTTATCTTTGAAACTGCTCGATTTATTGAATTTGTATTAGAACAAAGACAAGGTTTCTATGTATTTTGGGTATTATTCCAATAATTCCAGTGCGTTAGGTAAAATAGCGTTAGCGACTGGCTCTTTTCCGGAAAAGGTGGGTGGCCCTGAAAAGGGCCTTTTGTTGATGTTTTGGTCTGTGGAAGCGGAGGAGCCGTTAGCCGCCGAAGCCGTACAGAGTGCGGCCCTGGCGCTTGAGAGCGTAGACCACGTCCATGGCGGTGACAGTCTTCCTCTTGGCGTGCTCGGTGTAGGTGACAGCGTCGCGGATGACGTTCTCGAGGAAGACCTTAAGGACGCCCCGGGTCTCCTCGTAAATGAGCCCGGAGATGCGCTTGACTCCTCCGCGGCGAGCGAGGCGGCGGATGGCAGGCTTGGTGATGCCCTGGATGTTGTCGCGGAGAACTTTGCGGTGCCTCTTGGCGCCTCCTTTCCCCAACCCCTTACCCTTCTAAGTTCCAATGTCAGCGGCGCCCGGCAGAGCAGCCTCTCAGCCACGGCAGCCTGGCTCTCCCAGCCCCCGGGGGCCGCCCTCCTCCCTCGCGCACCCGCAGCGTTCCCGCCCGGGGAGGCGGCGCCCCCAAGGACTCAGGTTCGGTTGTACCTGAGAAGCCGAGCACTTGGCTCCCAAACAAATCGGCTTCTGAACAATCGAAACCCGGAAGTGAGTGTTCTGGTTTCAAATGATTTTTGGAGGGCGAACATCCGGTGCGGCTTCCGATTGGCTGCAGGGGGCTCCTCTGGCAGAAGCCGCACTCTGGTTTTCAAATGGTTCCAGGAGTCGAATGGACTCCCGGAACGCATTCTGTTCGAGAACCAAGGTACAGTGGACGCTCGGGTTGCGAACGTGATCCATGTGGGAGGCACGTTCGCAACCCGCAGTGTTCGCAACTCACATTGCTGCGTCTGCGCACACACAGGTTGTGATTTAGCGCTTCTGCGCATGCACAAGTGCCGAGAACCTGGAAGTAACCCATTCCGGTACTTCTGGGTTTCAGTGCATCCATAACCTGAAAATGCTTAAGCTGAAGCATCTGTAACCCGAGGTATGACTGTATGTACCAGTCCTAAGGAACTGGCCAAGTAAGGCAATCAGCATCTGCAGGTCCCTTGACAGACAGGAGAGAAGCCACACTCTTGGATTTCTGTTGGTAGATGCCTCTTCCTGAGATGCTTGTATTATGCTAATCATAGAATCATAGAGACAGAAGGGACCCCAAGGTCATCTAGTCCAGCCCCCTGCAATGCAGGAATCTTAGCTCAAGCATCCCTGACAGATGGCCACCTAGCCTCTCCAGGGAGCAGAGACCGTCTGAACAGCTCTTATTGTCAGAAAGCTCTTCCTGATGTTGAGCCGGAAAAGTCTTTCAAAGCTGCTGCACACCTTTGTTTGGGGTCCTCCCCTCCTTGCAAATGTCAGTGGGAAGGAGGGCTCTGTTTCAACAGAAAAATAAAGATTCCCCCTTTCTTCCAGCTTCCACTCATTCGTCTCCGACTGATAATGGACTTGGGAGGCTTTGAGCCCTTGGGGAGCTGAGCTGTAAAGGACAACCTCCAATTTTCATGCATCAGAAGGAGCCCAGGAGCCCCATCGGGGCTTACCCTGTGCAGGCTGGTTCCCCCACACACAAACACACACACTGGTTGCAATTTTGTGGTCAGCTTTGGCTGGGAGAGGCAGCCCCCGTTAAGTCCTTGCAGCCCCTGCCTGGCATCGCCCCTGCCTGGCTTTCCTGTGGGACCAAGGAAGCGCGCTGGGACTTGGCCGCTGGCCTTTGTTGCGGAGCGCGGCAGTGTGGGGAACGCCAGTCCCAAGGGCAGCCTCTGGGGTCTGGGTGCTGCTGCCTGTCTCCTGCCATGGACTTGGCGGGGGGGGGGGGCTGGCAGAGACTTAACGGGGGCTGCCTCTCCCAGCCAAAGCTGACCCACAAAATTGCAACCCAGTGTGTGTGTTTGTGTGGGGGGGAACCAGCCTGCACAGGGTAAGCCCCGATGGGGCTCCTGGGCTCCTTCTGATGCATGAAAATTGGAGGTTGTCCTTTACAGCTCAGCTCCCCAAGGGGCTCAAAGCCTCCCAAGTCCATTATCAGTCGGAGACGAATGAGTGGAAGCTGGAAAGAAAGGGGGAATCTTTATTTTTCTGTTGAAACAGAGCCCTCCTTCCCACTGACATTTGCAAGGAGGGGAGGACCCCAAACAAAGGTGTGCAGCAGCTTTGAAAGACTTTTCCGGCTCAACATCAGGAAGAGCTTTCTGACAATAAGAGCTGTTCAGACGGTCTCTGCTCCCTGGGAGAGGCTAGGTGGCCATCTGTCAGGGATGCTTGAGCTAAGATTCCTGCATTGCAGGGGGCTGGACTAGATGACCTTGGGGTCCCTTCTGTCTCTATGATTCTATGATTAGCATAATACAAGCATCTCAGGAAGAGGCATCTACCAACAGAAATCCACGAGTGTGGTTTCTCTCCTGTCTGTCAAGGGACCTGCAGATGCTGATTGCCTTACTTGGCCAGTTCCTTAGGACTGGTACATACAGTCATACCTCGGGTTACAGATGCTTCAGCTTAAGCATTTTCAGGTTATGGATGCACTGAAACCCAGAAGTACCGGAATGGGTTACTTCCAGGTCTCGGCACTTGTGCATGCGCAGAAGCGCTAAATCACAACCTGTGTGTGCGCAGACGCAGCAATGTGAGTTGCGAACACTGCGGGTTGCGAACGTGCCTCCCACATGGATCACGTTCGCAACCCGAGCGTCCACTGTACCTTGGTTCTCGAACAGAATGCGTTCCGGGAGTCCATTCGACTCCTGGAACCATTTGAAAACCAGAGTGCGGCTTCTGCCAGAGGAGCCCCCTGCAGCCAATCGGAAGCCGCACCGGATGTTCGCCCTCCAAAAATCATTTGAAAACCAGAACACTCACTTCCGGGTTTCGATTGTTCAGAAGCCGATTTGTTTGGGAGCCAAGGTGCTCGGCTTCTCAGGTACAACCGAACCTGAGTCCTTGGGGGCGCCGCCTCCCCGGGCGGGAACGCTGCGGGTGCGCGAGGGAGGAGGGCGGCCCCCGGGGGCTGGGAGAGCCAGGCTGCCGTGGCTGAGAGGGCTGCTCTGCCGGGCGCCGCTGACATTGGAACTTAGAAAACTTCCCGGGGCAGGACCCCGGTATGGGCCCCCCCAATATTTTTTATAAGTCGGCGCCCCTGTAAAGTAGGAAGCATCATGCTTTACGATTTTAATTTGCCACTCCATGCAGGAATTCCTCTCCCGAAAGTAAGGTCCTGAAGTTACTTCGTTGCGCTTTTGGAGAGCTCAGGGAGAGACTTCATCCTTTATATAGTGACAATACAGACCAATCCACGTGCAGCAGAGTGGCGCAGCGGAAGCGTGCTGGGCCCATAACCCAGAGGTCGATGGATCGAAACCATCCTCTGCTAATTTATTTCTATTTATTTGTACAAACACGTTTTCTCTCACCTCCAATGTCGCTTCCTATTTTTATTTAAAATAAAATAGGCGCTGCAATAAAGTTATGGGGAGCTGAGGGTGGAGGCTTCCTCTGTGGAACTTTGCAGGAAATCAGGAAGAAAATAAAGCCCTTCGTTAATTTCTTGCTTCGTTGACTTATAGCAGCGTGTTTATTGTTCTTATGCAAATCTACTCAGAAGTCTCGCTGGAGTACAGAAGGACTGACTCCCAGGAAAGCATTTTAGGAAGGAACCCCAATACATTGATTTATGCACTTTTTTTAAAAAAAGTGATTGTAAAATAAAGGAAAATTTAAAAAAAAAATATTAGCAGAGGATGGTTTCGATCCATCGACCTCTGGGTTATGGGCCCAGCACGCTTCCGCTGCGCCACTCTGCTGCGCGCGAGACAGCGTGTATTGTCAGTATATAAAGGATGACGTCTTTTTTTTCTTTTCTTAAGCGAAGCCATCAGTTCTGCAAACAAGAGCGTACTGCACTCTTTGACCAATAGTTTATTTTAAAGTAGTCACTTGGCAATCAAGAACAGCTGCTTTGACCCAATGAGACGAAGAGAGCTCCTAATGCAAAACATTTAAAGGGAATAAGACACTACGCAGGAATAGAGGCCAATTATTTTTATATGAATGGTGGCCAGTTATGTTATTAGAAGGCTTCTAAGGTGGCAAATAAAACTTCACTGGTCAGCATGTTCTAAGAGTTTCCTCCCCTCCACTTTTATCTTTGAAACTGCTCGATTTATTGAATTTGTATTAGAACAAAGACAAGGTTTCTATGTATTTTGGGTATTATTCCAATAATTCCAGTGCGTTAGGTAAAATAGCGTTAGCGACTGGCTCTTTTCCGGAAAAGGTGGGTGGCCCTGAAAAGGGCCTTTTGTTGATGTTTTGGTCTGTGGAAGCGGAGGAGCCGTTAGCCGCCGAAGCCGTACAGAGTGCGGCCCTGGCGCTTGAGAGCGTAGACCACGTCCATGGCGGTGACAGTCTTCCTCTTGGCGTGCTCGGTGTAGGTGACAGCGTCGCGGATGACGTTCTCGAGGAAGACCTTAAGGACGCCCCGGGTCTCCTCGTAAATGAGCCCGGAGATGCGCTTGACTCCTCCGCGGCGAGCGAGGCGGCGGATGGCAGGCTTGGTGATGCCCTGGATGTTGTCGCGGAGAACTTTGCGGTGCCTCTTGGCGCCTCCTTTCCCCAACCCCTTACCGCCCTTTCCACGCCCTGACATCTTCACAAATACTACAGCACCAACCAAATGAGATTCTGCCGCTGTCCAAGCCGGTTTATATACAATGCAATCCGACCAGAATGAAAACTAAGAGGCGGAGCCTCCCGCTCAATTCCCAGGGAAAAAAACCTTGGCGGGCAAGTTTGGTTCTATCCAATGAGAAGAGGTTTGGGTAGTTTCAAACCAGCCAATCGGCGCCCTCGTTGTCCTTTCAATTTGAAATTGTTGTTGGCGCCTTCACAGTCTTCCCGCTTTAGCGTTTTCGTGGCGGCAAGATATCATTCGCGTTTTATATATAGTTCTGTGTGCTGCTATGACAGAATAGCTGAAAGCGGCTGGTGGCAGTATGTATGTACGCAGCTATGAAAAATCAATAGGGCAACTATAAGCACTGTCCACTCAGAAGTAAATTCCACTGAGTACAACAGGGCTTACTCCCAAGTGTGTATATACAATTGCACCCCAAATTGTTCTGGAATTTGGGGGTTCCAAAAACCTTTCCAACTGAGATGCTTAAAAAGTAAGGATGAACATAGCCAGCCTTCCTAGCTATGTACCAGTACTGTGCTATGTCCAGGAAAGAACAGTGGCTAAGATTCCAAGACACTAACATTTATTGTTATTTTCCTTCCTCCATCATGCTTCCCAACTTCTTGATGTTTTTCATAGAAAGTGAAGACTGCCTTCAGTCTATTGTGCCCATACAAAAGGGGTGGGGGAGAATATTTGTAAAGGGAGGGTGAACAGGAAAAATCTTGATAGACGCACAAGTTTTTTGTGTGTGTGCAAATGCTACATCCATGGATTTGCCCATTTTTATTTTCTAGCAGGCTTCCTGTAGCTGTTTATTCACCTAGCCAACAGAAGCACCGATGCTGTAGCCTTTTCATTATACACAGCAGAATAGGAGACCACTTAAACCTAGAGATCTCAGGTAACTTTTGTGATCCTCAACACTTATCAAAGTTTAATGAAGATGTGTTGAAAAGGTCCTAATGAGTGGAGCTGTGGACAAAACACTTTCATGATACATCTTTGGTATAGTCACTTGAGGCCAGCTATTTAGACGGACAGCAGGGCATCACTGGTGCTGCAAAACTGCACCCAATTGCTGAGATATCTTGCAGCCTGATTTCTTCAGGTAGTGTAACATCAATTCAACAAAGTGTTGTCAGCTTAACAACCTCTTTAACACAAAAGAGGTTGCTGAACAGTCTATGTTCAGATAATACCCAGGCATTTTATCACAGATTATGTCAAAAGGGGCTGAACCAAGATATTTTGTAGATTCAGAGACACTGAATGATCCAAAGAAAGAAAGTACTGGGGGACCATAAATATGCAGTGTTTGAAACAGATTCTTTTATATATACAAATGCTTCTGAATACAAGTTGTTGGAAACTGCAGGAGAGGAGAGTGCTCATGCTCAGCTTCTGCTTGCTGGTTTACCACAGGCATCTGGTTGGCCACTGTGATAACAGGATGCTGTGCTAGATAGGCCATTGGCCTGACCCAACAAGCTCTTCCCATGTTCCTATAGGATGGTCACATTAGCATGAGTTGAAGCTCCTCATGCTGCTTGCCTGCCTTTGCTCCTGTGAATACAGCAACATGGATAACCAGTGTACAATCTACAGTTGTTTAGCAAACCTATGTTACATTAAGACAGGGGTAGGCAACCTAAGGCCCGGGGACCAGATCTGGCCAATCGCCTTCTAAATCCAGCCTGCGTACAGTATGGGAATCAGAGTGTTTTCACATGAGTAGAATGTGTCCTTTTATTTAAAATGCATCTCTGGGTTATTTGTGGGGCATAGGAATTCGTTCATTTCCCCCGCTCAAAATAGTCCGGCCTGCCACATGGTCTGAGGGACAGTGGACCGGACCATGGCTGAAAAAGCTTGTTGACCCCTGCATTAAGAGGTGGCAAAGAAGTTGTGAAGTTGCTTCTGCGAAATGCTTGTCATTAAAGCACTATTACACATACTCTTATATTATGTTTATATACCACCTTTCCAACCAGGAGCTCAGTGTGGTTCTCCCCCTCCCCATTTTTATCTTCACAACAACCTTGTGAGGTACGTAAAGTTGACTGTGGCTGGCCCGAGGTCACCTTGGTTAGCTGAGCTGTGATTTGAACTCAGTTTATTTCAACTTTTCCAACTAACCTCTAATAGTTCCCTGCGAATCTTTCATATACCTTCCTGCAACCAATGTGATCCCCACTTCAGACAGTATGCAGAAGTTTTCTTTGAGTGACCCAAGTTAAAAGATTGTAAATAAAGAGTAAGTACTACTGCACATGATTATTGAATCGATGGGTTACCATCAGGGACCAGAATCTAATCAGACTTCAGGTGTTCCAATCAGTTATTGCTGATTGCTAGTACTCCCAGAAAAGCCTGCAAAGTTAACATGCAGCCCTGATGTCCCCTTTCAGAATATTTTGAGACCTAGGTGCACACTAGAACTTGGCTCCCCAAACAAATGCAACTTTACACAAAACGTTACTGATTGAAATGGAATTGGCATACTGACTTAGAAATAAGAACAGCTGTAACCCTAATCAGAAGACTGGTTGGGAACTGCCTCCTCACAACAATAGAGAAATGTTTCTGTGAAACATCTGCCTTATTGGCCAAACATACCACTAAACACATTTCTGTGTAGCAGACTTTGGAAGGAGAGAATGAAGGCGAGATGGAAACAAGTTGGTGATTTCAATAATTGGAGATTTGGAGACAGCTGAGGAAAGGGAGTTAATTTCTGGAGCACTCAAAACAGTATGAGCTTTTTGACTTTAAGAGACATAGGAAAAACAGGCCAAGTTGAGAAATCTAGTGGAGACTGAAAAGGACTTGTATAAAATGGGGAGGGAGGGGGGGAAACGAATAGAAGAAAAATGTATTGAGACGGGTAAGAGAAGTAGAGAAAGGAAGAAATAACTTGCCAGATGGATTCTAAAAATTCATCTGTCCAGGAGTGTAAACTTTTCAGGTGGGAGCTTCAGGCCATTAAAGCATTAGGTGAAGGGATATATATTTATGTGATTATATCTTCCAAAAGTCTGGTACTCTTGTTTATTCACAAGTGATAAGAACTGTGCCACGACTTACAAGGTAATAGCAATTAATGAAATTAAATTACTGCATCTTAGCTAAGGTGAATGTGTCCCATCTGAGCAATAGAAGTCTTCTCCCTACCGAAACAGAGCTTCTCCCCTCATTTGCAGGCTAAGACTCAAAAGCAAAAGCTTAGCTTTAGGAGTATCTCATAACACAATAACGTAAACTAACCAGCATTTATTTCCAAAAGGCAGTTAACACACAAGTAAAGCCTCTTACATAAAGCTCACGCGCAGTTTTTCTAGCAATTTAGCTCTTTTGCAGAGAAAGTGGGTGGCTCTGAAAAGAGCCGTTGGTTTGTTTAAAAAAGCTGCTGTGCCAAGAATAAGGAATTACTTGGAGCTGGTGTACTTGGTGACGGCCTTGGTGCCCTCGGAGACGGCGTGCTTGGCGAGCTCTCCGGGCAGCAGGAGTCGGACGGCGGTCTGGATCTCCCGGGAGGTGATGGTGGAGCGCTTGTTGTAGTGCGCCAGGCGGGAAGCCTCGGCCGCGATGCGCTCGAAGATGTCGTTGACGAAGGAGTTCATGATGCTCATGGCCTTGGACGAGATGCCCGTGTCCGGGTGGACCTGCTTGAGCACCTTGTAGACGTAGATGGAGTAGCTCTCCTTGCGGCTCTTCTTGCGCTTCTTGTCGCCCTTCTTCTGGGTCTTGGTGATGGCCTTCTTGGAGCCCTTCTTCGGAACAGGCACGGATTTGGCTGGTTCCGGCATCCTGCTATGCTGAAACTGCGACCAACTGAGAATATGTGTGAAAAAAGAAATGCTAGGTAAGTCTTCGCTGCACGCGTATTTATTCACCGTCCCCCGCGGTTCGGCGCACAATCCTCCCGCTTTCCTATTGGCTCCTTTCGACGCCCTGATTAAGGAAGCACAACGCGCACAAAAGGTTTTCTGGAAACCAACCAATCATCACAATGGGTGACGTGAGACCTCGGCGTTTTCATTGGGCACAATGAGAAGCCGCGCTTTCATTGGACGCTGTGGTGGCTTTCAGCGTTCAGCCAATCGAAATTGCCGAGGCTGAGTCTCAGGGAGGGTATAAAAGGGCCAGAATCGCCATGTTGTGACTTACTTTTCCGGTTTCTCATCTCGAGTTGTTGTTCTACTTTAGAAGTTGGTGTCATGTCTGGACGCGGCAAGCAAGGAGGCAAGGCTCGTGCCAAGGCCAAGACTCGCTCTTCTCGTGCCGGGCTGCAGTTCCCCTGTGGGTCGTGTGCACCGTCTTCTGCGCAAAGGGAACTACGCAGAGCGCGTCGGGGCCGGGGCGCCCGTCTACTTGGCTGCTGTGCTGGAGTACCTGACTGCTGAGATCCTGGAGTTGGCCGGCAACGCTGCCCGGGACAACAAGAAGACCAGGATCATCCCTCGCCACTTGCAGCTCGCCATCCGCAACGACGAGGAGCTGAACAAGCTGCTGGGCAAAGTCACCATTGCTCAAGGAGGCGTCCTCCCCAACATCCAGGCTGTGCTGTTGCCCAAGAAAACCGAGAGCCATAAAGCGAAGGCCAAGTAAATTCTTGTAGGATTTTTAGGAGACGTCGGAGACATTTCAAAACAGACAACAAAGGCTCTTTTAAGAGCCACCCACAATATCTAGAAAAGAGCTGATTTGATTACATGTATGTTTTCTGGCAAAAGGAATTCGTAATATGGAATTTGTATTACCAGTGCTAGTTAGCCGAGACGTAACTTCAGGGTCCCTGCAACAATATATGGTATCGCCAGAACGTAAAACACATTCTCGCGCCTTATTTCAGTGTCACAGTGGGTATCTTCCGGGTTAAAACGGCAAGCGCAGCACGGATCTAACAGGCTTATCCGGCAGAGTATCATTTAAGTATCTTAACTTTCCCCAGATGTGAAGTTTGTGTAAGTGGC